CAGTGTAAGCCCAACGGCCTAGAATGAATCTGGACTGATCCAATGATCACAATTATATTTCGTAATTGAATTTTAAATTTTTTTTACAAATACAAATTACTTGAAATTTGGAGCGTCTATTCTTCATGAATATTCGAATATAATAAAAATATCAAAAAATAATTTTCATAAATTAAATTAACCAAAATTCTCCTGAAATGTTTTGGGGGTATTTTGATGAATTTATTTTATGTGAATTATTATTTTTAATATCTTTATTAGATTCCAATATTTTTGAAGAATAGACGTTCCAAATTTCAAGTGATTTAGATTTGGAGAAAAAATTAAAATTCAATTCCGAAATTTAATTGTAATCATTAGATCGGCCCAAGTTCAATCTTGACCGTCTTCGGCCTAGATTTGAAAATATTTAAGAACTTAAAACATGCTTTTCTTACTTGCACCTTCAAATTTTATTACGCATCTCTCATCGGCCCAGATTCGAGAGCTACTTAAACGTGCTTTTCTTATGCCTTAAAAAAGAATCTATTGTAAGTTCAATTTTTTAACAGTCACATATAAATATTTAGGAACTTAAAACATAAAATTGTTTCGAAAAATTGCAATTAGTAGGTAAAATCAGAAAATTCACAAAAAAAAAAAATTATCGTCCTAAGTAGCTCTTTCATTCGAGGGAGTAAGTTTAATTAGGAGCATACCATAAAGCATTACACTTTTCTTCTGTAGGAAGTTCCCATATTTGAATAATGGGTGCGGTTTCTATAAGGTTGCAACCGTAAATAATCCAATTAAGATGTACCTCCAAATTTTATTATAACATGTAATTTTGGTGTAAAAACTTCTTTAGATTATCTTAAAATCTATTTTCATCTCTAATTATAAATTTTTTAGCTCCAAAAATGGTTAAAATCAAGTTGATCTACAAACATATGAGAATCTTGAAAATGGACGGTCTAGATAATGTGTTGCAATATGCTACTATTTATGGAACTCAAAATCTTCTTTGTTTCATATCCATACATTTCTATGTCGATATGATCAATTAGAGTGTCTTTCAACATTAAAATAACTTTTTCCGATGGATTTTTTATGTACATCTTTAATTCTACATTTTAAGGTTGCAACCTTATATAAACTTTTTCTTTGAATAATTTCTCAACAAACTTGTTTGGAAAAAAATTGTGTTCTTTGGTATTTTCCTCTACATAATCATAAATCTCCCTGTTAAAATAAGGCATATAAAAAATCCCAAAATATCTAAGCCCTTATAGGTACAATTAGTGGTTCAAAAATCGTCGAGTCAGAACGGATTCAAGCTATTCGACACGGGAATCGGCCACCCCATGACGATTCCAGTGAAAAGCGCAATATTGCTCGATTCTAGAGAAGAACCGGAGATTTTCTACAGTGAACCGCCCGATTCACTGTTCAAGACTCGATGAATAGTATAAAGCATGAAAAAATCATGACATTTTGGATTGTTTTGATCAATTATTGGAACAAAATTGAATCTTGCAGGTTTTGGATCCAACTTTACAGCCTTATTGAGTATTATAATCAAGCTCAAAGGTCGAATTTAGATAAAAAATTCACGGTTTTGTGAAGAACACAAGACTGTGTTTAGGTTTTCTACCATTTCATTGATTTTAGATGAAATATGGCACTATTTTTGATCAAATCAGATTGTTCTTACTCGTAATAATATTATTGAGGCGAAATTGTATACCATTTTTGCTTATTTTGGCTGATTACATGTCAATTTTGGATTTGAAGTCACAGTTTCAAAAGAATAGGTACTAGCTTTTTCTTTTTGCCCATTTAATCGATTCCAATCTATTTCTAGCAAATATTTTATTGATATCATAGGGTTTTGGTTCTTTATAATATTATTGACCATAAATTGTAACATATATATATATTTTTGGTCAATATGTGGTGGATTTTTTATTTTGAGTCATGGTTTTCTCAAGAACAGTTAGGTTTTTTTTTTCCCGCCAAACTATAAAATTTAGATGAATTAAAGCACCATTATGGATTATTTCAGAGGGTTTTTGAACGTAAAGATGTTCTTCATATGATCTTGGGTGTAATTTGTGGGATTAACCAATTTTTATTGCTCGAATTTTTAAGAAATGGAGTTGTGGCTGTGTTTTTAGAAAAAGAATTAAAAAATCAACCAAACTGAAATTTTTAGCCGAATTAGAGCATCATTTTGAATGATTTCAGAGGGGTTCTGAGAATAACAATGTTATTCAACCGATTATTGGTGTTATTTGTGTGATTAACCAAATTTTTGGTGATCAATTTTTTGAAAAATCTTGATTGTTGGTCTTCTTCAAATTTTTTGAAAAATCATGATTTTTTGAAACATTGTGACCAAGTTTTGATTATCATGAGAAATTAACTTATATTTTTTAATTTTATTATTAAATGTTTAATACAATAAAATGTATGTTGGTACATAAAATGTACATATATTATTGATACATATGTTATAATTATATTATCTTGATACATGTAGTGGCATTATGAATGACTATATTATTGTAAATATTATTTGTGGCAAGTCTACTTGTAGTGGCATTGTGAACGACTATATCATTGTAATTTTTTTTTATTAATACTATATCATTGTAATTTTTTTTTCTTGATTCTAAGTGTGGCTTATACATACTGTTTTTATCTATAATGTTGCATAAATAAATTTTCTTTGCCAGTAGGAACTAATTCATGCTTGTCAAAATAAAGATTTGTGGCGAGTCTATATGTAGTGGTATTGTAAATATATTATTGTAAATTATTACTTTATTGATACTATATCATTGTAATTTTTATTTTTAATGAATTGTCACGCGAATTTAATCAATAACACCAGCGTGACCAAAATGAAGAATGAAATCGTCTTTCATTTTGGTATTAGTTCGTATTTAAGAATTGTATGCTTTATTGTAGTTCATGTATAATTATATACTTCATCTATCATAATTCTATATTTATGTAAATTTAATGATTAACAATAGTTCATACAGGGAAAGAACATTTCAATATTCACATGTTGATGAAAAAAATAAAAGTTTTTAATGGAGTACTCCTATTTTTTATTAGATTTCTAAAAATATATTTATAATAAAATTTAATAATTATTTATATTTTTTAAAATTAAATTTATTCGATTTTATTGATGTCGATCCGTATCACCGATTTACATAAGTTTTGAAAGTGTCCGATCCACGGCACTAACCCCTTTATTAAACAATGGGGTTCAATGTAAAGAAGGAAGGAACAAAAAGAAGAAAAAGTAAAAAGAAATGGAAAAATAAAGGGTAGGGGATTACGACTTTATATGTGATCACTGGGTTCCCCACGTCGTTGGATAATGTGAAGAGCGAGGGAGAGAAATTGGACCTCTTTTCTGTCTGAATTCTGAACGAACTCGGACCATAGCACATTCGTCCAAACCAGACACTTCTCTCTCTCTAGAAACAAACCTCTTTCTCTCTCTAGACCGGGCATGGTTTCTCTCTCGCTACAAACAATCAAGCAAGCCATTACATGAACCATACCTTTTCTCCCTCTCTCTAACTCACACTCTCGCACAGTCATTCTCTCTAGAAATGCCAAATTTGAATCTAGAAAAACCTTCAGTGCCCAATAGAACGTGAAGTCTTTCTTTTTCTCTAATAAAATCTGCAATATCAAATTAATTAGAGCTTAATATTTATCTGGTTCTTTGAAAGAACTGATGGCATTCAATTTACAGCATAATCTTGTGCATTCAAGGTTCTCTACTCCTTTTCTCTTTTGTCTACAGCTTGTTTAATTTATTCATGATGCGCTATTCTTTATCTTAAGATATTGTGATATGCTTTCTTTACGTTGACTTCTCTATCTCACTCTCACTTTATCTCTCTTCTGAGAAATTGGAATGGTTACGGCTTGTGTTGCTGCATTTTCTTGTTCAATTTCTTGTCCTACAACTGGTTTCTCCAGTGGGCCGCAGATTGCCATGATTTATCTAGACTTCTTACTCTCTTTAGAGTTAAAATTGAGATGACTTATGGTTTTCTTTTTGCTGTATTTACTTGTTTGATTTTGTGTATTGTCACTACTTGCTCCATTAATTCATAGGTGACAATTAATTATCAGTTTATGAATATGATGGACAAACATAAATGAATAATTCCTCTCAAGAGTTGGTAATTGGAGGAATTTGGGATTTTCTATCTACATTAAACGGTTCAAATTTAGTGCTATCACTGCTTGCTTGGTTACATCAGAGTTTGCAGAAAATTCTGTACTTGTAAATTTGTTGGAGAAATCAAATGAATTTTTTTGCTTTAGAGTTGGTATGTTGATGAATTAAGGTCTTCTTGCTACATTTTCTGGGACAGGTTCTTGTCATGGAAATTATTGATCCACTAGGTCATCGATGGCCACAAATTATCGATTTCTATAAATATCAGAGAAATTCAACTGAATTCATTTTATTTTCCTGAGAATTTATGGCATTTGGCAAAACCCTATCTGTTGAATGCCAAACAGAATTTTTATAATTGATGGAGATACTTGTCTATATTAGCAACAAGGGATGAGCTAAAATTTAGTAATTTCCTTGATAATGGAGAAGTAATTTCCTTGATAATGGAGAAGCTAATATCCCATTGAATCCTAAGAATTGGTGGCACCCATTTGATTTCTTTGGTGTGTTATGAGTGTCATCCTCTTTTTATATCATCTCACCTTATTCAAAATGCATGATGGAGTTTTTAATGTGTCCTTTTTTCAGTTCTGTTTGGTTCCATGCTGCTATCATTGATTTTCTTCCTGTTTTATACTAGAATTCTTGCCAAGTGGCATCAAGAAAAAGCCAGAAAACTCATGAATGTTATATGAAAGCAACAAATTGTGGTCTAAGAAAGCAAAATATTTGTTATTTGTTCACGCGGTAGTACACCGTACATAACTGGTGATGTGTACTTTTTGATGCTTTTGTGCACCTATAAATTGGATTTTTATAGAAAGAAAGAAGTTTGTCGCCTACATGAATACCTGTAATGTACAATTTGTATTTACATTGCAGAATTTCAAACCCTCATCTAGCCCAGAAAGCTACTTTGTGGAAGGATGGAACTAACCCAATCTATCTTTCATGCTACAAAGGCAATTTGAGACAGAGATGGATTGTTAGGCGTGGCTTTGTAGAGTATGATAGACAAACTATTAGAAATGGAATTTTAGGGCATAAAAATTATGTTTTACCCTTTTGGAAAGCAAAAAGAATGTTATTTTCTACGTCTCTCTTGGCCACCAATGATGATGGAATGGCAGCTAGTGGGACCTCCCAAACCAGTTCTGGTGTTGAGGTAGAGGAAATGAGGACCAAATTAAATCAGTCCATACAGGGAGAAGATCTCAACAGTAGTCTGATACAGGCCTTACATGATGCAGCTCGGGTTTTTGAATTGGCCATCAAAGAACATACTTCAGGATCAAGGGTGCCGTGGTTTTCCAAGGCATGGCTTGGTGTAGATAAACATGCCTGGGTAAAGACACTCTCTTATCAGGTTAGTCCTATAATGCTCTTCTAAATCTAGTTTGGTGTGTATTTATGTGTTCGGGAATTGTTCGGATTTTTTAGATGGGTGGTTTACTATTTCAATCATAAATATACTGCATATTCAAGGATACAATGATAGACGATGTCAGTGTCAATGATCACATGGTTTTTGTGTGCCTGAGTGGGTGTAGATAAAAATGTGTACAGCTACCCAAATCCATTCCTTCATATCATGTATAATCTGAGCACTGAGCCGGTAAGGTACCGTAAAGTTGTTGATCCATGAACCTTCTTTGTTGGGTACCTGCTTTTAAATTCTGCACACTTTTCTAAGCAACCAGAGTTTTTGTCCAAGTCCTAGTTCAAAAGAATTAATGCAGTGTATTGAATTTCAAACAAGTTGAGTAATGATATATCACACTTTCTTTTCAAATCTTCCAATAATGTTGAAATACATCTTTGTACAACACAAATTCAATTTGTGCCGGTCGTATTTCTTATAGTGGCTCGTGCATCTCACATAGTGTTTTCATGTTCCTATACATCATTTTGTTGCTCATTTAAGTCACTTATCTCTTTACAGCCTTCATCATGGGATATCTTCCCCTTCTGAGCCCTGGGATAGCTTTCTTGATTACCTTTCTCATATCATTTATGGTTTTCTTTTTGTTGAGTCCACTTAATTTTTTTTATTTTTATTTTGCATTGAGAAAGACCGGATTTTCTGAAGGATCAGTCTGTTTTAGTTCCCTTTAAGTCTAGAATAACTATTACCCTAAGTATTTCAAGCAAGCTTCTCTTTATGTATTAAGTCTTCTTTTTTGATGACTGGATTTGCTAGAGCATTAGTTTGTCTCAGTTCCGTAAATATGTAGAATGAGTTCCATGCTATGTCTTTCAAGAAAGGTTTTCTTTATATGTCAGTATGTCTTTTTTTTTTCCTCTCTTCTTTTAAAACAACTGCACATGTTATTTATACTGTGAAGGCTTTTATGTGTCTCCTAATTGGTGCCTCCAAACGAGGATTTAATACAAACTACCATATTGGATGAAACTTCTCTATACTTTTGCTCATAAGACTAATTATTTTCCGTTTTCAAGTGAAAATATGTATGCAACATGTGATTTAAAAAATTTATGCCTATGAAATGGCTTCTTCGGTTCTAGAATCTCACATATCTGTTTTTCAGGCTTCTGTTCATTCTTTATTGCAAGCAGGAAGTGAAATTGCATCTCGAGGAGATGGAAGAGATAGAGATACTAATGTCTTTGTGCAAAGGAGGTCGGTATGCTATTTTAGAGTGAACTCTCTGGTGGGATATCTGTTCAGCGAATAATTATTAGCATGCCTGATTATTTGCTTCTAGTATGCCCAATGAGATCAAGTGGTTCCTAAAGATCAATCAGTCATTAACTTTTTGGCTTTGTCATTATATGGACACAGGGATCACTTTTTAACTTGCTAAAGTTTTGATTATGACATTATGCCAAAATTTAGTTATCCCTCAGTGTTCAAAAAAATATTTAGTTATCCCTCAGGAATTGATATGCTTGTGGTGCCTTTCGTTGTTGGAAAGATCATGTGGGATTATTCTTGGCCTATTGCTTTAATAGCTTCACTTACACAGTGTTTGAAGACATTTTAGTTTGATGTAAGAAATTTCAAGTTTATATTGGGGTTTCTTGCAAGGAAATGTATACAATGAGACCATTTGCTTTGGTGTAAGAAAGTCACAATTATATTGACAAATATGAAATCAGGTTGTTGGGGGTGTACTATTGGGTACAATGTCCAAAATAAAATTTATTGAATGTTGTGACACATTTCAATATATGTAGGATTTTCACATCCAATGGCTATGAGTAATTGTGACCTCCTTGCTTTAAAAATGAATGGTCTTAGAGTATACAATCTTTTTTTACAATATCTGATCATGAGCTACTGGTGAAACAATGACAATGCTTATTTTTTTCTATTATATTTCTGTGAGCTACTAGTTGCTTATTTAAATGGGAATGTGAAGAGTATAGAAGGAAAAAAGTGTTACGAAGATGGATGGATATCCTCTTTGCTCAGTGACCTCAGCTTGGGCTAGAGAAACTACCTCTTTATTGGTTTCTCCATAAACTTGTTGAAATTGTAAACTATGGAGCTAACAACCTCCCTGTTCTCCTAAACACATCCATGAATAGATCACCCTGTACTGGTCTAATGAATAAATCATATATGAAGGATTTCTTTCCACGAGCAAGGGGCTAGTAAGGGTGCCCATAAATTTCCTTATTCCACTTAGAGTAGTAACTCAACCGACATGGGATCCTCCATTACTGTTGATCTTGTTAAGGCCTTCTTGGCTATGCTGGCCTTATTTTTGATTATTCCTCCCTCCCCACTTGCTGAAGCAGCTGCATTCCCGTGGACATTAATCTTCATCATTTCAGTGGGAGGGCTCCTTCACATCTCCCTTCCCCTATTTTGAGAAGCTTCAGTATGCACCATGGACTTTCATTCGTATGCTAGGTCCTCTCCCCTCCTCTAACCTCTTCTTCTATTACTGTCTAGGAAATGGGTTTTATCTTGATTCACTCTTTTACAACCACTCTCCTTCTGACCTTCCTCTGAAAGTTCAAATCTAATTATTGTGCTCTTTCAATTTCCATCAAAAGATTATTAGAAGGTAGTACCTTCAAAGGAAGTTATCCCCTGCCAAAATGGGGCCTCAAGACTGACGAAGTCAAAGACACAGAAAGAACCCAAGAGATGCCAAATAGATGAAAGAAGATTCCCATCCCTAAGCTCCCATGTTGGCAAATAAGTAGATCGCAACTCATCACAATAGATCGCAACTCATCACAATCTTGTCTTTTATGGTCAGCTGCACAAATGTGCATCACTTTTAGAGGTACATGGAAACCCATTAAACAATCCACCCAAGTTTCAGACTCTATATTCGTGATCACTTGTTCATCCCTTAATGAAATGAAAATCTCTTCAATGACCCTACTATATCCACCAACTCACATACTTCATCCTCCGCTAAACTCCTTAACCTTGGAACACCATCCCTCAAAACTTCAAGACCTCCCTTCCCATTCAATATGTTGGACTGGCTATAAAATTTGCAATCCCACCCTTAGAAAATGAGAAGTGCTGGACAAAACATACATACATAGACATCACATACACACATGTACTGGGGCACACACACATATAAGCAGAACAACAACTGTGCCGTATACAATGTACACTGGATAACGAGTCACAAAAGCGAAAGGTCAGATACACCCCTCCTCAACTCTACACACACATATGCATACATATTACATACGTTAGGCTTCAAATTGTAGATAATTACGCCACCTAATCGTAAGATGTGATGATATATGTGTTTGTTGATATATGTTTTGGACCTTACAGTTTATTACGGCAATCTACTCCCCTGGAGAGCATAATTAGGGAAGAGCTGGTGGCCAAGGAACCTGCAGTGTATGATTGGTTTTGGTCGCAGCAGCATCCAATGGTTGTGACGAGTTTTGTGAACTTTTTTGAACGTGATCCTCGCTTCTCCCTTGCCACTGCAGTGTATGTTTTTTCTGGTTTTAGAATGTTGCCTCATTTCATTTAGAGGCTTCGAATTCCAGTGCTTAACACTTAGAAGGTTAATACTGTACTGTTATTTTTCCTCTTATGGCTACTAGCTGGAAGACAGGAGCATCATTGGCCTCAGGCAATGGAAGTGACTTGTCTCTGCTTATGCTTGCCCTGTCATGCATTGCTGCAATCACCAAACTTGGACCAGCAAAAGTTTCTTGCCCCCAGTTCTTCTCATCCATACCAGATGTCACTGGTAGACTAATGGACATGCTTGTTGATTTTATTCCTGTACGTCGAGCTTATCAGTCCATGAAAGAAGTTGGTCTACGCAGAGAGTTCCTTGTGCACTTTGGTCCTCGAGCTGCATCATTAAGAGGTAAAAATGATAAGGGAGCTGAAGAGATGGCTTTTTGGGTGAATCTTGTACAGCAACAGCTACAACGAGCTATTGATAGAGAGAAAATATGGTCAAGGTTGACTACCACTGAAAGTATTGAGGTAATTATAATACCATCTTCCTTTTGGTAGGAAGCAAGTTGTCATGCTCTTGTGCATTTTTATAAGATTAAATTGGATATTTTATTAAAGAAAGGTTAAATTAGATGTTAGTAATTTGTAATCTTTTTTATGAACAAAAAAAATAAAATAAATTCTAATCTTTTTTATGGAATATTTAAAGTATATCATTGATTTAGTGCATAATGGTTATTGTATCTGATTGGTATCGTCCTGTAATTGGAAAGTTTTACACCATATGCTTCCTGCTATAAATGATATGCTCTTTGTTTTTGATTTTGTTGACATTGTTATTTTTCTCTTGATAAACTTCTGTGCTAAGGATGCCTAGTCGAGAACCTTTTGGTATGTGTCCATGTTGGTGTGTATGTGCAGTATTGAGCAGCATGTACAGATGACTATGTGCCCAACATTATAGTGCTGCAACAGGAGAAACTTAAAAAAGTTGAGTGGCCATCAACATATCTGATTAACTGAATCTGTAGTCTATGGATATTTTTCTCTTCTTCTATTGCATCTCTTTGAAGCAAATCTAGGGCATCAATTAGCTAGAAGCTTGGATACATATACCACTCTCTTCATTGATACAAATTTCTATTGCAGTGTTAAAAAGGCCTAGGTAAACTACGTCTTATCTCCATGGTCTAATGGAAAAACCATGGTCCATTGGGTCATCACCGCCGATTGACATGGCGACTAGTGAAGGGGGACCCACTAGGTAAGGACATTGCCCAGGGGTTGGTCATTATCTTCGTGTATTGCTGTCCTTAATGGATGGTGACGATCCAATGGACTGTTTCTTTATAATCTGTTAGATTAAAATCATCATCATTAGAGCATTTTTCCAACTATTCGGGGTCAGCTAAACGAATCCTGATCCGTCATTATGCTTTATCAAGGGCCATACCCTCAGTGAGGCCATAAGTCCCCATATCTTTTTTCAATAATTTTAACCATATATTTCTCACTATCCCTTGCCTTTTTTGAGCCTTCCACTTGAAGCAACTTGCATCTCCTAACAGGTGTTGTACTAGGTCTGTGCTGCACATGGCTAGCCTACCTAAGTTTACTTTCTCTCATCTTATTGCCTATTGGAGCCACACCTAAGTTCTTCAAAATGCATTCATTTCGAATTCTATCCATTCTTGTCTTACCACTTATCCATCTTAACATACTCATCTCAGCTACACTCATCCTATGGATATGTTGTTTCTTGACCACCCAACATTCCTTTCCATAAAGCAAAGCTGGTCTCACAGCAGTAGAAGGAAAAATCGGGCTGTCTAACCAGTAACCGCTTGATATCGGCCGATTTCAGCTGGTTTTGGTGATGGATTGGGTATTTTAAATTTTTTTTAAAATTATATAAAAACCCAAAATATAAGGGATTTTATTTGTAATGCATTTTTTAATGTTTTTCATTACTATGGCAAAGATTGGAAATTGTTTTGGCCATTAATACGTATTTTTACATATTCCCTGTATTTTTTGAAAATTTCAAAAATACCCCTTGGCACAAATCGATTCTTTAAAACCCATTTTTCTTCATTAATTTTCAACTTCATTTGGATGTGCTTTGTTTAATCATTATTTAAATATACTTTTCATATTTATTAGATTTGTTTTGTATTTTTTTTAACACTTTTTTGACTGCCCGTGATTTGCCTGGTTAAAACAGTTCAACCGCCCGGTTTACCGGTTAGGGCTGTTGAACCACTTTCGGGCCCATGTCCAGTTAACCGTTTCGGTTCGATTTTTCCTACATTACTCACAGCTGTCCTATAGAATTTCCCCTTTAGCTTCATTGGTATGTAGTGATCACATAAAACTCCGGTTGTTCATTTCCACTTTGCCTACCCAGCTCTAATACTACGTGCGATATCTTCCACAATCTCTCAATTTTCTTGGATTATCGATCCAATTTGTCGAAAGTGCGCTCTTTTTGGTATTTCTTGGCCGTCAATCTTAGCTACTTCTTTGTCTCTACTCATATTATTACTATACTTGCATTTCATATTCCCTGTCATAGTCTGACTATTTTTGAAACCTTTAGATTCTAGAGCATCCCTCAAAAGTTATTACTTTGTTGATGTAGCTTCGCTTTTCATTGATCAAAGCTATGTCGTCCACGAACAAGATACACCACGGTACCTCATCTTGTAAGTGCCTAGTTAAGTTGTCCATAATTAGGTATGGGTTCAACGCTGATCCTTATGTAAACCTATTACCACTGAAAACTCACTTGTCTTTCCACTAGTTGACGCTCTCTTGTATATACCTCTCACCAAGTCGATTTAGTATCTGAAGACTATTTTCTTTTCCAACACCCACCAAATTAAATCTCGAGGTACTCTAGCATAAGCTTTCTCTAGTTTAATAAAGACCATGTGGAGGTCTTTTTCCTTCACCTTAGACTTTTCAATCAGTTTTCTAAGTAGGAAAATAGCCTCAATTGTTGACCTCCGTAGCATAAAACCGAATTGGTTTTCTGATGCACTCGTTTCATGCCTTAGTCATTGTTCAATCAGTCTATTCCACAGTTTCCTATTGTGGTTCATAAAGTTTGATTCCTCGATAGTTTGCACAATTCTGTATGTGTTCTTTGTTCTTTTAAATAGGTGCCACAATATTTTTCCTCTATTTGTCTGACATTTGTTTTGTTCTCAACATCTTGTTGAACAGCTTGGTCAGCCAGCCAATGCCGATCTCTCCATGCACTTCCAAACTTCTATTAGGATATCATCTGGTCCTAAATCCTTTCTTATCTTCATCATCTTCAAAGCTTCTTTCATTTATGATATCCTAGTCCTATGAATGTATCTATGACCTCCGTCCCTCATTTATGCCAACGGTTCCTTCTATTGCTGTGTTCCCATTTTGTTCGTCATTTAATAATTTTTTAAAATAAACTTTCTACCTTTTGTTGACTACCTTCCTTCACCAATACCTTTGATCCTCACTCTTAATGCATTTGATATGGTTTAGATCCTTACACTTTTCTCTCGCATTTTTGTCAGTTGGAAGGCATCTTTTTCACCTTTTCCTGTTCTCAATTTATTGATTATCAAATGCCTTAGTTTACCTTTACTTACTATTTATTTAGCGTTTTTATTGGCATATTTATATTCTTCTAATTTGATCATTTCTATTACATTGCCAAGTTTTATAACATGATTGTTTTTTGCTAATGGTCTTCTGATCCTCATCACTCCATCAAGTTTTCTTATTGAAATTTCTTTTCCCTTTAGTTTATCCTAAAACTTCTTTCCACTTTTTTAATACAGTCAACCATCTCATTCCACATAATATTCAGAGTTCCATTTTTCTTCTTTAACTAATTTATTGCTAAATAAATCTATTTTCTCATTTTTTAAATTCTACCACCTAGTTCTTGGATACCTATTAATTTCATACCTTCTCTTCCATCCCTTTATGAAGACGTCCATACCCACAACCCTATGTTGTGTAGTCGAACTCTTTTTTGGGATAACCTTACAGTCTTGACATGATGGTCGTTTTACCTTCTTAATGAATAAGAAGTTTCTTTGACTGTTATATGATTCATTTTATAGGTTATTAAATGTTCATTTCGCTTTTTAAAATAAGTGTTTGCTATTGCTAGGTCGTAGGCTATAGAATGTAGAATAGCTTCACCCATCTTATTTCTTTTACCGAACCCATATCCCCCATGTGCCCCTTCTTATCCTCTACAATCCTTCCCTAGATAACCATTTAAGTCCCCTCTTAAGAAGGTCCTCTCTCCATTTGGTATGTCTTGGACTAGTCCATCCATGTCCGCCCAGAATGTCTCTTAATTCTATCATCTAGTCGTACTTGTGGTCTGTTAAGTACTAATTACTTTAATTATCTCTTCCCTTAATACAAGTTTAATTAATAGGAGCCTCTCACCTACTATCTTGACATTAGCTATTTATCTTTTTAAATCTTTGTCTACTATTATGCCTATGCAATTTATATTAATGTCCTTTCTCATATATCAAGGTTTATACCCATCTATTTCATTAGCTTTTTCCCCTTTCCACTTAGTTTCCTGTAGACAAGCTACATTTACTCTCATTCGTCTCGTTATATCCACTAACTCCATAGTCTTACCTGTAAGCATTCCTACATTCCATCTGACTAGACGAATCATATTCTCTTGGACCAGCTTCTTTACCCGCACTCGTCCAGAATGGCATGGGAACCCTTGCCTATTTTTCACCGCAACGGGATAGTGCTGTAGCATGTCGCTTCTTTGAACACCCTAACTAACCCTAGCTCGTTTCTCACTATACTTGGGTTTATGGAACAATGCGTCGCTTTCGGGGAACGCTCTAGCATAAGCAGATAATGTAGATTCATGATTCACATAAAGTATTGACAAAGTTTTACGTTGTCTGCCTACTAACACAATCCACCTCCTTGACTTGGGCTTGGGACGGGTTAAGGGAAATTTACGGTCTCACCATTCTTAGATGTATGTAACATCAATAAATCATCTACCAAAAAATATGATATAAGGACAGCACACCTATTCTTGTGATCTGTGCTTATGTAATGGCGCTGTAAGGAGATCCTCTCATAGTCATGTATTATTGAGAAGTTTTCTGTCTACAAGTAACATGGAATGTGTAACATACTGTTAGCCAAAAATAGTATGATGATAAGTTCATGTACCAAAACCATAAAAAAATGGAGAAAGAGCATGGTGACAAAGCTGCTAGGAAAAAAGAAAGAAATTCAATTATAATAGAAAATTGTAGTACTTATCTTATTCAATAGACATCTTTTTCTCAGTCTGTTAGATTAAAATAAATTTCCCAAAATTGTTTGTGAATAATCGTTTCTTGACACACTCATAAGCTTCAAAACTGTCAATGCCATTCTCCATGGTGCAATTTGAGGTGACCAATTCAGAATGATTGTGCTCTTATAACAAGGATGAAAAGTTGGGTAATGCATCTAAGTAAACAGAGAGCACGCAAAAAATTGTAGGCTTGAAGCAATGACCCAGATTGGACGTAGTGATTGTAGACTGCTCTTAGCCAACACATTGATTGCATGCTTGCAGGGCCATCTACTCCCAGGAGAAGACAACATAGCCAGATGAGACAGACCAATATAGGGCCCTTGGGTGGACAAGTAGAGAGGTTACTGCCTGGACTTCTGAGAGCACAACATAGCTGGACGAGATGAGACAGACCAACACAGCGCTTTCTAGGTGGCAAATAAAGTTTCTTGGGATTGGGCATCATTGTTGCCACATAGAAAACTAGCATACCAGAAATTGCTTGAGTGTTCCATATGTATATCCTTTTTTTAAATCTTGCTTCGGGCTATGTTACAACGACACAAATGCAAGAATCCATTCCTGACTTGGACTCAAAGAATCCCACTCTCCTATATATTTTGCCAAGTACAGTATGACATGTCTGTACAATGCATATGTCTATAAATATTTATATATAAAATTATTTGTGATTTGTTATAATAAGATTAACTTAAAAAAATAGAACATGCAGTTCCTAATAAAAAACATTTGTCCAAATCATAAGAGACGTACGTCCACATGTCTCTTACAAATTGGACATGTCTGTCTTGTTCATCCAATTCTTGGACTCGTGTCCACACAGCAGACATGCTTTGTCTGCGAACTCAAAAAATGAACATATCCAGGCACAAAGTCGACATGGAATTCCTTTGTCTATATGTGTGCCGACCCATGTTATTCTCCTAATCGCACATGACACACATGTCATTGTTACATAGCTTTTGGGTAATTTTCTTGTAGAAATTCAATAATCTTCTTAGATAATTTAATTGCTCTTCTCTTTCCAGATGTGCTATTAGTTGTCAAAATCCATCATAGGATCATTCCAAGCCCTTTCCACGTGGAAACTATGAAAAAGCATGTGCCTAGATTCTGTTGACAAAGAAATATCTTGAAATTCCTGCCCAAACAGGCTGACTGTAATTACAATCCCTGTAATTACAATCCACAAACATGTGGATGATATCTATTTATCCTCCATGTGTAGGATATATTTACTTAGTTACAACCCCAATCTCAGGCAGTTACATTAATTTTCGTTATGGTCTGATGAAATTGGAATTCTTTTGTAGTTATACCATTGAAAGGCTCCTGTTATACTTACCCTCTATGGAAAATGAAATGTACCCAAATACATATATTTTTTTATTGAATGGTGGTTCTACTCTAAACCAAGCCCTTTGTTTGACCACTAAATTAATGCTTTTTCTGTTTCCATGATATGGTTGTTCTGGGGAATGCTGCTTTATGTAGGTCTGGTGCTTAATTGCCTTGGTCACTGAATTAGTTTTTACTGAATAATGAAGAGAATTTGTAAAGATGTGATTTCTTCGCTAATGTCCCTTTTTTATGTGGAAAGGTTTTGTTATTTTCTTTAACTGATGGTAAAAGGTTTTATGTTTCTTGGAACAGGTATTGGAAAAGGACTTGGCAATATTTGGGATTTTTATTGCATTGGGTAGGAGCACGCAATCTTTTTTATCTGCAAATAACATTGATATCATCAATGATTCCGTTGAGAGTCTTATAAGGTATTATTTCCTTCTATCTGGTTTGTATTGATGATACTTCGGATTTTTTCTTGGCACAATCCAAATATTTAAACATCCAAGTTAATTGGGATCTTGTTACCAGAATGTGATTGTTAAAACTTAAAACAATGGAAAAATATAAGAATAAATAATGACAAAAATATTTCCCATTAAAGAAATTGGTGGCACTCTTATGGTGGAAAGTGCTCTGGACATTGCTTGAGCTCCATATTGCCTTAACTGTGGTTACATCTCTACGAGACCCAACCTTCTTTATATGGAGAAAAGGATGCATGTATTGGCTATGTGATATAGGACGTGGTTCAAAAACTTGTCCCAATATTGGTTATATATTGGCTTAGGGCCCTGCCTGTCACAGTATGTGATGGTTAAGAATCTTAGGTCAAAACTAATATGTTGACTATTGTTATTTTATTTAAATAGTTTGTCATACAAGGGTATAAAGACCAGTACATTAACTATTGTTATTTTATTTAAATAGTTTGTCATATAAGGGTATAAAGACCAGTACATTCAGTTTCATAATTTGAAGAAAAAAACATATTGCATTCAATATAAATCTTCTTTTATCTAATACTTTTAGAAAGACATAATAAACATTCTAAACCCATTAATTTTTTTAACAATAGAATGAATTTTATACTAAATAAAAGTATTGCCTTCATTATAACAGTTATAAATACCATTATTTTGTTGCTTCATCAAATATTGCTGGTTCTATCATTATTTTTTAGAGATGATTATTATTTCCTCAGTTGATGTCTGATATAATGGTCAATACTGATATTTTGGCCTCTGCCGCTTACCGACATGGTTTGCCTTGATCGATTTTTCAACCTTGTGTAGGACTACAAGCACAACTTAGAACATACTATAATATTAAGAAAGAAAAATAGGTCGAGATACTTAGATATGATGAGTTTGATTCTTCAACAGTGATATTCTCTTTGATGTTGTGATGGTAGTTTCTCTTTATCTTCTATATTAATCTATATTATACTCTTCTATTCAGGTATCTTATTGGGGGAAGTGTGTTGTATTATCCTCAGCTATCATCCATTAGCGCTTATCAGCTGTATGTGGAGGTTAGCAACATCAATAAGAAGTCAAATATATATAACATTTAAATTTCCTGATATGCTCTGTCAATATATTTCCTGGGTCCTGTAGGTGGTTTGTGAAGAGTTAGAGTGGCTTCCTTTTTATCCAAACCATTCAGGTGCATTGAAAAGACCTCATGAAAATAAAGGGAAACAAGTCCAGGGACTTCCCAAAGGTGAAGCTATCTCCCAAGTACTGGATGTGTGCTCTTACTGGATGCAAAATTTTATAAAGTACAGTGCATGGCTTGAGAATTCTTCAAATGTCAAAGCAGCAGAGTTTTTGTCCAGAGGGTACTGCCTCAGACGATTGTGGTCTTGTATCTTGTTCTTTTGGCCCATTTAATTGTTAAACCGTATGCTTCGTATGCATTGTCATTGGTTACTCTTCTTTCTTGACACTAGCATGTGGTACATTTGCAGCCACAGCAAGTTAAAGGAATGCAGGCAAAGAGTGGGGTTCCTGAAGTAAGTGCTGATCAATCGTGTTTCTGATTATTCTTCAGTTTGCCATTGCATTGTTGAATTTGTAAGCCCATGAATGCATCTTGTGCCTATCTATGAAATTGTGCCCTTGATGATTTCTAGGAATGAACGGGGCCAAGATGGTTTGCAGTATTCTCATGAACAAGTTGACACAGCATCATACACTTTATCTGAGACAGAGTTAGACTCGTTTGATATGGCAAGTTCATTGTTTGACTTCTTCTGTGGAAGAATAGGGAGTTGTTTGATTTATGATTTGGTTCAAAGCTATTCTAAGTTTGTCACAGAACATATTATGTGAAAGAACTTAGTCTGTTATTCCTTTCATCTATTTTTAGAGGGAAGTTCTTGTTTTTTCCTAAAAATTAAAAAAAAAACGTTCTTGTTTTTCCTTAAATGATGATTCCATTAGAAGAAACTATTAGTGGCTTTTATATCTTTATGTGATGATGCCATTAGAACAAAGCTATGGAGGTTATTAAAGGGATCCAAACTACAATTTCTTTTTGAGCAATTAAAATGATCTTCTTGCCTACGTTTCTTGCTCTCATTGATATGGTTCTCATCTTTTTGGTTTTACAGGCATTAGAGAGTGTTGATGACGCTTTGAAAAGATTAGAAGAGCTGCTTCAAGAGCTACATGTTTGCAGCTCGAATTCAGGGAAGGAGCATTTAAAAGCTGCATGTTCTGACCTTGAGAGAATAAGAAAACTCAAGAAGGAGGCAGAGTTTCTTGAGGCATCATTCAGAGCAAAAGCAGCATCACTCCAGCAGGTGACATCTATGGACTTTTTGTTATATCCGTCCTAGAATTTATCCCAGATGGATATGAGTGACTATTACGTGAGATTCCCAATGTTGCTTCAAGTACTACAGAACATGTTGAACAAGGAATTGGGAATCTACTGCTATAAAACTTTTTCCTTCATCTACTAAAACTTTTTGGGATGCATCCCAAGGCTGTTTGTTGTCATTTCGACAACTTTATGCAGTTTTCTGGGGAAATTTTCACAAAACCAATTCTCTAAAACTCCTTTTTCCTGGGAAATCTTGTACAATTCCATGATTGTGAAATCAACCTGGTGAAAGTGAGGTTGTTTTGTGAAGTGACAAAAACAATACAAATGATTGGGAAACATTCACTTATAAAATGTCATTAATCATGGCATCTTGATGTTAATGTTCTATTGCAGTATACACATGCAAGTTGAAGGGTAATGTTTTGCCATGGGCATGCTAGATATACGAATTTGATGGTCCCTTGACATAGCTTCAGTTAATTTAACATCCATGTGATAAATAGAAGGAGAACATGATGTCTTGATAAATTGGTCACTAAATTTCTAATAAATTGTTTGTCAATGATAGGCTGATAGCAAACCTCAGAGTTTGATTAGATGAGAAAATTATAGCATTCCTAGTATCATCAATTATATGATTTTGATTGTCTGGGTTCTACGTGTCCATTAGCTTTTTCCCTGCAAATGACACCATGATGGTTTTGGTGTTTGAACAATTGGTGCTGCAGTTTTGTCAAAGTGATGGATCCTAAGTTAGGATTTGTGAAATCTTTCGAATAATTATGTTCATTAATCCCCAGGCATTTTGTGATATGGACTTCTGTTTAATTTTGCATCATTGATCTTGATCTAAAATGACTCTGGTGGGTCCCCTTTGTCCATGCAATAGGGAGTTGATGATAGGCATTTAGATCCATCATTAAGTAAGCAGAAGAGTTTCTCCAAGAAAAAGCATGGAAAAAAGGATCCTCTGATGCAGGATGGGACTGAAAGCAAGAGGGGTTCCCCAGCTAGGTTTGTTTTCTAGAAATAGTACCTAAAGTTATTGGTGTCTATTCTGCGTTATGGTTTCCATTTATTTAGTACATGTTTGTCAGGTTGGAGACACTGTTTGTTAGAATAAGACTTGAAGGATGTTGAGACAAATTTGGTGCATGGCATGTGGTTGAATATGTTTGACAGGTGATTTGCTTTGCAGGTCTGACAATGGTCCTCATGGCTTGTGGAGTTTCTTGTTGCGCCGCTCAACCAGGCAAATAGTCTCTAAGGATGATGTACCATCAAGAGTGGACCAAACTGTATGTTTTTATGAACTTGGGATCATTTATCTGCTTTGTTCCCTGTGTGTCTCACATGATTGTGACTTTATGCCAACTTAAAAGCCCTGCCATTCAGAAGAACAAAGGAACGTGCTTCATGAGTCTGTTGTTTTATAATATAGGATAAGATGTGTTGTAGTTGATATGAAATTAATTTGAAAATTTGCACATTTTAAGTCATGGTAATTACTGGTGTCAAATATGCTTAGGTTCATATCGCCCAAATTTCTTCCATCAATGTGATTGTGTGATGGAAGTGGTGACATGAAAGTGGCATTCCTTATCCAAATATATAGCTTAAAGTATGGCCTAATGTCTGGATCTTGAGGGAAGTGCAAAATGCTGGTCTCTGTTGATATCTAGATCTTGAGGGAAGTTTAAAATGCATCTCTCGTTGCACCTCTCGCTTTTAGAAGGGAGCAAGTAGTGTGCACAACTTGCAACAGTTTCATTAGTAGCAAGAGATGTAATGGTTGCTATCTAAATTATTGCAGGCTCCTTTTTGATAGCAACAACAACTGCACTTGGACAGTTCATGCGTGTCATTAATTTAGTCTATATTGTACGTGATCTAGTTCATGTCGTGAGCTTGCTCTTAGATCAAATTTTCTATTTTAATTATTTATACTTAGTTTGGAAGGAAAAAGTGGTAAAAATTCTGTAGAGGATAGAAATGCTACAACGGAGTGTATCCTGATTTCTCTATACACATGATGGAAAGAAATTTCCAATGAACTGGTGTTCCTTGGATTCCTTTGACACATGTTTGTCTGGGAGAATGCTTGGGGCCTATTGTGAAGGTGATTTTCAACAATCAGATGGTTATTTTATTTTTAATTGTTTTTACTCGCAAAGCTGGCAAGAATCTTTGATTTGTTTTAAGTACTTGATGTTATGAGGGATTAATAGCTGTATATGCATAGTTTTAGTATGCAAGCCTAAATAGCACTATGTTTCCAGCTAACGTAGACAAAGAGAAAAGCGGTGACATTTTTATATTGTTCCCCTGCATATGCTTTTTGGAAGTCTTAATTTCCGAAATAGTGGATTACAGGCTACCGACCCTTGTGAAGAGACCTACAACTCCACAGACAATGGAGAATCAGAACCAAATGAAATTCGCCGCTTTGAGCTTTTGAGATGTGAACTGATTGAGCTTGAAAAACGAGTTCAGAGAAGTACGGATGGAACTCAAAACGAAGAGGTACCGAAAGTGAATATTGTTTGCTTGCTTATTGTTATACATATTTAACATGATATAGGATGCATCTTCACATACTTCTATACGCATGAATTTTTATGTTTTTCTTTTCTCCATCTTTCCATTCATGTACTTGTTGGATTAGGAATTTTTGAATCCTTTTTGCATAGTTCGTCTTCATGTTTTGAGTATCACTTATACATTCTAGTGACGATCCATTAATTTGCCAAAGCTTATGATTGGATATGTTGTGAACTTTTGAGTTTCCCAGTGAGAGTAGAAGTTTCCATTTCAAATCCATCATGATAATTTACTTTATCAAAGATTCCTTAGTTCACTAAATACACCATATATATATATATATATATATATATGAAAAATATCCAGTCAGCCCATTGGCTCATATCGAATCTGGGCCGATCGGACGGTCACAACTGCATTTTGTATTTGAATTTTAAGTTTTTTTCTACAAATCCAAATCACATGAAATTTGGTATGTCCTCCACTCTTCTAATCAAGACGCACCTAATAAAATTATTTAAAAATTATTCGCAAATGATAAATAAAAAATTATTCACAAATAATAAATTGACCAAAAAACCTTAAAGTTTCAAGAGGTATTTTGATTTATTTATTTTTTGTGAATTATTTTTTATTAGATTCATCTATTTTTTAAGAATAGATGCTCCAAATTTTAAGTGATTTAGATTTGTAGAAAAATAGTTTAAATTCAAATACAAAATGCAATCCTGACCATTAGATCGGCCCAAATTCAATCTGAGTCATGGGGCGTGTACTGTAGCTGTCAGCTAGCGGGCTGATCTCAGACTCTCCCATAGATAGGGAAAAACTGTTGTTAGCCCATAGGCTGATGGAATAGTGTAAGCCTAATGGCTTAGATTGAATCTGGGTCAATCCAATGATCACGATTGCATTTCGTATTTAAATTCTAATTTTGTTTATAAATCCAAATCACTTGAAACTTAGAGCATCTATTGTTTAAAAATAATATAATATAAT